GACCAAATATATATAAAATTTTAAGTCAATAAATATACTGTACTAATAAAAAAATTAAGTCGAGAGCAGTAATTTTAGTGAGATTCGTAATATAACTTATCCATAATATATAACTATTTTACTACTACTAGAGTTACTCGAAATACTGTACAAAGTATGCCCCTTAAATATTACTGGCATCTATATTTGAACATTATTAAGACTATAGAAAGTAATTAATACTCAAAATTTGGACAATAATCACTATTTGCATTGAAATATTTATCAACAACTTGTGTGTGCAGTTTCATGTATAATACATGCAAATGATCTTTTTATTAAGACTTCAATCTAACGACTCCAAGATTATTTTAGGTATAGCTACTTTCATGGTTTGACTGCTAGACTGATACTACTATAATAACCACGCAGAGTTATGTGAGATCGTTAAATCCCTTCGTTCGGGTTCGAAAATCGAGGAATGAAGAACCTCTTTGGTTCCCCTTAGTTGGCCTACTTACGTAATTAATTGAATTTGTGAATATCGAATACTTGATGCATAAAGAAAAATAAACCTTATAACAAATAAGATTCCATATATTTCTTATCTAAAAAACGTTAGTATTCCTAGTTACCAACTTAGGATGAAGCTAAGATAGTTGAATGAATAAAGATCTTCAACCAAATTTAGCTTAATGGAATATTCATTTTGTCCGTGCCCAAAAAAGTGAAAATAATCACTCTTAAAACATCCCATTTAGACGAAAAGTCAGAATTATGGAAATTATTTTGCTTCACTTTTTGCGACGTTTTTTCACGTATTCCTCAAATGTGAAACGACGTGTTGCTTTTGTTTGAGTCCATCCCAACAACCATGCCCAAACCCTTTCTTTCCCTTCCTTCTTTGACTTGAACAAACATCCTTCCCTTTCCACCTTCATTTGCACATGAAATTATATATAGTGAGGGAAATAATATTATATGTTCCCTTGACATAAAGTTATCTGTAATTCATTGAATCAACTAATCCAAATTAACGTCGCACTGGAGTTCATTATAGTAAGAAGCATTTTCTAATAAAAGTTTTTTCATTCGGTGCTCGAGCCACGGACGTAAATTTGCTATTATTGCATCTAGAAACATAGTCAAGAAAGGAACCACTAATATTTGCATTAGGGTAGGCTATTTACATCATATTTTTTGAGGTACGACCCTTTCCGAAATCATGTATGAACGCGAAATATCTTGTGCACCGGGCTACCCATTTTTGTACCTACAAACGTAAATTCTTAACCACTTAAAAAAAACAAAAAGAGGGTTGGTGGATCTTTGTTTTTCGGGGTGAAGAGTGGCTGTTAGTGAAAATACGCCTACCCTGGCTGCCCTTCCTTTTACATGTACAACTACTTCACGTTCTCCACGTGTCAAGAATCTCAGCCGTCCATTCCTATGTGCAATCCAACGGCCAATCTTGATTTTCAACTAACACATCGGCCTGCCAAAGTCCAACACACAATGACAATGTATTTTCTCATTCTATTTAAACACTCACATTTTGGCTAAACAAACTCAGGAAATTCATATAAGCTTTGCAATTTCCTAACCTCCACCAACAAATAAACATAGAGCAACACAATCATATATACATGCACCTATAGCCCAATATTCATCAAACATCACATATAGTTTTCTTTCCTAACCAATTAAGTATTTGTCCAAAATATTGAGAATTCATTAATTACCCTGCACATAATAATGGAGTATGCCAATGGAAATTGTAATGGTCATAATGCTAGTCAAGAATTTTGTATTAAGGGTCATGAGCAACAAGACCCTTTGAATTGGAACATGGCAGCTGATGCACTCAAGGCTACCTTGATGAAGTCAAGAAAATGGTGGAGGAGTTTAGGAAGCCGGTGGTCCGGCTAGGTGGAGAGACGTTAACGATAGGTCAGGTGGCCGCGATAGCAGGCAGGTCGGGCACAGAGGTGATGGTGGAGCTGGCGGAGGCGGCCAGGGCGGGCGTCAAGGCCAGCAGTGATTGGGTCATTGAAGGCATGAAAAATGGGACTGATAGCTATGGTGTTACTACTGGTTTTGGTGCTACATCACATAGGAGGACCAAGAAAGGTGCAGCTCTACAAAAGGAGCTAATAAGGTAAACACAAATTCTATTATCACCACATGTTACGTACGTACCTCATGTCTTCTCGCAATAAGTTTTACGTGACATAGTTACGTGAAAACAAGCTGTAATTTTGTTTCACATATATATAAAATATTTTGAATTTTAATTTTATATATATACTTTGACAGTGTTATGATATTTATGTTATCGATTGTAGTTTAATATATGATAGAAGTATTAGATTAGTTGCTATTTGTACCAAATTATTCGTATTTTTACAGAGTTTCTTAACTTTTAATTATCCTATAAATAACTTCATTGAATATATTTTTCACAATATTAATGCATACACATAAATTGAATTATCAAGTTTATTAGTAGAAAATTTATCTTCGTTGAAAATAATTATGCTTTTGCTTTCGTGCAATTCTTCACTTTCCCCCCTTTTTTCTCAACCATGCTTTCTGGGATTATGCCATTACTACCGGTTGAAACAATACTATATGCGCGCGCACATATATATATATTTAAAAAAATGAAGTCTATATCACTAACATGATAGGGTTGTCTTCAGATTTTGAAAAGTAGTTGCAGACACGTTATCCAAGTAATAGGAAACCTTTACCCATTCCTTAATTAAAAATTAAATTCAACTTAATTTTGGTCCCCAACAAATCAAATTATTAATTAACCAGAAAAAATTTTGACGTTGTAAACATCCCACATGAATAGCCCAAACGGACGTGACTGCATGAAAACCTTTATACATTATGGTTCAAAGTTGCTTTTGCTTTTTTTTTTTTTTGCCTAATAAATATAGCTGCAGATTTAGGTCTAATTTTTGTCTAAAAAGAAGGCATTTAATAGATACAACATCTGTCTATTTAATCCATAGATTTGTTAGGTTAAAGTGGTCCCAACTATTAAACCATAGTAACGTTATTTACAAGAGAGACTGAGAGACACAAGATATCCCAACTCAACTTTTAATTATTTAAAGAAATAACCTAAAATAACAAAGAAAAAAACCCCAAAAGTATACTCCATTATATTTTGTAACAGGATTTGTTTGCTTTATAAGGGAAAAATATGTTTTTGGCTCTGATTTTGAACGGTATTACTCTTTTAACTGTTTAAACTGGTCTAACACTGGCACTTTAATAAATTTTGAGGGAAAATTTACCCGTATTTATTATTCTTCGTACTTTAATACATTTCAAGTGCACAGATAGTTATTCTCAGGGATGCTATTTAAAGATTAATCAATACTTATTTTGTTCTGAAATTTTAAACTAAAAATCTTAACTTTAGGATAATTCAGGATATTGTCCTACAAAATTGACTGAAAAACTGAAATTCATGATGAACGGGCTAATTCCTAAAGTGGCTACCTGGTGTCATTTCTACTAGTAATTTTGTACGTCAACTTAAAGCTGATTTGCTAAATGGAATATCATCTGAACCAGGTTCTTGAATGCCGGAATCTTCGGCAATGGGACGGAGTCTAGCCACACGCTGCCACATTCCGCCACGAGGGCTGCCATGTTGGTGAGGATCAACACCCTACTTCAAGGCTACTCCGGCATAAGATTTGAGATCTTAGAAGCTATAACCAAATTGCTTAACAACAACATTACCCCATGTTTGCCTCTCCGTGGCACAATCACAGCATCTGGTGACTTGGTACCACTGTCCTACATTGCTGGGCTTTTAACAGGCCGGCCCAATTCCAAAGCAACTGGGCCTAATGGAGAATTATTGGATGCCGTCAAGGCGTTTCAATGGGCCGGTATAGACACTGGATTCTTTGAGTTGCAGCCCAAAGAAGGCTTAGCTATGGTTAATGGCACTGCTGTTGGTTCTGGTTTGGCTTCTATGGTTCTTTTTGAAGCTAACATTCTTGCTGTTCTTTCTGAAGTTTTATCAGCTATTTTTGCTGAAGTTATGCAAGGAAAGCCTGAGTTTACAGACCATTTGACACATAAATTAAAACATCATCCTGGCCAAATAGAAGCTGCAGCTATAATGGAACATATTTTGGATGGAAGTTCTTATGTGAAAGAAGCTAAAAAAATCCATGAAATGGACCCTTTACAAAAGCCTAAGCAAGATCGTTACGCTCTACGTACATCTCCACAATGGTTAGGTCCTCAAATTGAGGTCATTAGATCAGCAACAAAAATGATTGAAAGAGAGATTAACTCAGTTAATGACAACCCTTTAATTGATGTTTCAAGAAACAAGGCATTACATGGTGGAAATTTCCAAGGGACACCAATAGGTGTATCAATGGACAACACTAGGCTAGCACTTGCTTCCATTGGGAAACTTATGTTTGCACAATTTTCTGAACTTGTCAATGACTATTACAACAATGGATTACCTTCAAATTTGACCGGGGGACGGAATCCTAGCTTGGATTATGGTTTCAAAGGTGCTGAAATTGCTATGGCATCTTACTGTGCTGAACTCCAATTTCTTGCAAATCCAGTGACTAACCATGTCCAAAGTGCTGAGCAACATAACCAAGATGTCAACTCGTTGGGCTTAATCTCCTCAAGAAAGACAGCTGAGGCGGTCGACATTTTGAAACTCATGTCTTCTACTTATCTAGTAGCACTGTGCCAAGCCATTGATTTGAGGCACTTGGAAGAAAATCTCAAGGCTTCAGTGAAAAGTGCAGTGAGTTTAGTGGCCAAGAAAGTGCTAATAACTGGCCAAAATGGAGGGCTTCACAATTCAAGATTCAGTGAGAAAGACTTGCTCACAGTAGTTGATAGAGAATATTGTTTTGCATATGCTGATGACCCCTGCAGTGCTAACTATCCATTAATGCAGAAGTTAAGACAAGTCTTAGTGGATCATGCCCTATCGAATGGCGACATGGAGAAGAATTCTAGCACTTCAATTTTCCATAAAATCAGTGCATTTGAGGAAGAATTGAAGATTGTTTTGCCTAAGGAAATTGAGAGTGCTAGATGTAACTTGGAGAATGGGAAGCCAGCAATTCCTAATAGGATTCAAGAATGCAGGTNCAAGCCAACAATTCCTAACAGGATTCAAGAATGCAGGTCATATCCATTGTACAAGTTTGTGAGGGAAGAATTAAAGACTAATTATTTGACAGGTGAGAAAGTCCAATCACCTGGAGAAGAATTTGACAAGGTATTCACAGCTATGAATGAAGGGAAGTTGGTAGATCCATTGCTTAATTGCTTGAAGAAATGGAATGGTGCTCCTCTTCCACTTTGCTAGAGAAAAAAGTGGGGAAAATGATCAAAAAGTTATTGGCTTCACACTGTAGGTACATTACTTTGTAAGTTTATTTTTCTAGTTTTGAGAATTTTTTAAGGGTTTGTATGAAAATTTGTGACTCTTAAACTTATTGATGATATTTGTATCTTGTTTTTAGCAACTGTATTTACATTTTTGTGATTACAGAAAAAAGTTACTTCAACTTGTGTAATCCCTCAAGAAGATAATGTTCTACAGAGAATAAGAAAATCACTTTAACAAGTTTAATTATATCTTTCATTGGCCCTACACTTTGGTTTAGGTAGCTATTGTTTTGTTCTTGACTTCTGCTCTTTCATTTGTGGTCATTAGTTTGATTTTGCTGGCCCTATTGCCTCATGATTGTTGATAAGACAGATAGATAAATACATGTTTTAGTCAACATTAATGCATTTCAATTGTGACTAATAGCCTGTTTGGCCAAGCTTATTTTTGACCAAAAGTGCTTTTTTTTTTGCCAAAAGCACTTTTGGCCAAAAATTGAGGTGTTTGGCCAAGCTTCTGGAAGGAAAAAAAGTGCTTTTGAGGAAGCAGTTTTGGAGAAGCAGAAAAAAATAGCTTCTCTCCAAAAGCACTTTTTTGAGAAGCACTTTTGAGAAAAATACACTTAGAAGCAGTTTTTTAATGCTTGACCAAACACTAATTGCTGCTCAGAAGTGTTTTTCAAACTAATTAGCCAAACACAAACTGCTTCTCACCAAAAGTACTTTTGAGAAAAATACTTTTAAAAAAAAGCACTTCTCAAAATAAGCTGATTTTTGCAGCTTGGCCAAACGGGCTATAAGTCTTGGTTAGCCAACAAATCCCCTTCATGGGTTGGTAAGTGAGAAGAGAGATAGTGATATCTGTTCTAATTTTTCGGCCAATAACTTAATCAACTTGTTGACAAAAAGTTGGTAAGTACATGAAACTAAAAAAATAAAAATAAAAAGTACTTATCCACAATGTTAATAAATCCTGAACTTTGAACAGGAGAAATTGGTCAAATTTTAATGACAAGAATGTTCCCAGGAGTGCTAGTTAGGAGTAAAAGATACTCAGTAAATAGTAGCACTACAATGCTTGCAAACTATTTTAGAATTACATTCTGAATCAAAGATGATATTACTTAAATTAAAAGAACAAGAGCCTTTAGTTACTAAATCCTTTCAGTAGACATTTGAACATACACTGGGGAAATGGTTCAAAATTAAACTTTTACAATTTGGGTAGAAGAAAATGACCCTACAAAGATCTCTTGTGTTTTATTTTCAATCTATTGTGCATCAAAATAAAGATCTCTTTAAGAAATTTGACATAAAACTAATAGAAATTCTCTAATAGGCCACAAAATTTTGTAAACTATGAAATATTATTTGCAAACCAATAGGTGTTTTACAATTTTGTCCATTATTTCAACCTCAACTAGAAGTAGAGAATTTAAAGTTGAAAAGTTGATTTGAGGAGTATTTCAAATGAAATAATGATTTTCACTCACAAAACTTCAACCTCAATCTTTTCTTTTCAGTAAGATTTATGTTCAAAAATACAGTTGAGCGTTCAATCAACTGAACGTCAAATACTCATCGTTTCAATTCAACCAAATGTGTCTTAACAATACCTAATATTTTGCTAATGGAAACCTCAGCAGGGCGGATTTAGGCCGTTTTAAGATGTAGGTGAACCAATGGGTCTTTCTTCCAAACTAGGTATTTTATATATATATTTTGTAAAATTGATCTAACATTGTCTGTTGGCTCTCATGCTCCAAAAAGGTTGAGCATTCCACTTGGTTGAATGCTGAGTTATTTATCCAAAGGAATATAGATCGATTCCCGCTTAGTACTTTTTTCTCGCTTTTGTAGTGGTTCACCCATGTTCTAGAAATCCCTCGGTGAAGTTTTTTTTTTTTTTAAGTCATGGAGTAATTAACATTTAATCAAAGATAATAAGTCTTTAACAAAACATCTAAGTATAGCAAAACATAAAGTTAGTAAACAGCCAAAGTAAAATAGACTAAGATTAAGCATCGACCTGGTTTATGGTTCTGGTGAGTGGTGGCGTGCAGAAATCTGTGGCGCAATAAAGCGAGCACCTGGGGGCTGGGGCGATGAGATGTGCTGAGCCAAAATACACTGATAGTACGGTTCCATTCCTCCAGGATGATCGGAGTCAGCGCCGCCCGGCGACAGCAGCACGGGTCTTTGAAACAGGTCACCTCCAATTCACGAGACCATCTTATGGTAGTATTTTATTCTTTATGAAAGGACCGTTGGTAAAGTATTCAAATTTACCCCCTACTTTTAACTGTGCTCCAATGTGGCAGTGAACCCCAACTATTAAATTGCCACGTGTGTATTAACATTTTCTTATTTTTCGAAAAAACCTCATTTATATGTCTTCTGCTTAATTTTTCATACCTCCATTACTGTGTATTTGTAATATCTGGATAGCAAAGTAGACTCCTAACTAAGATAAAAAAGACCATTGAATAGAAACTGGACGTACAAACTCATTTATTCACGGGGATGAAAGTCCCATGGCTAGAAATAGAAGATCTCCATGTTATTTTTTAAGAGAAAAGAAAAATCCAAAATGAACAACGAAGACCTTCAACGAGCAGCCTGTCACTCCCACAATATAATAGTATTTCTCTTTTATTGTTACTTTTCATATTATTCTATGTTACAAACTCACGACTAGTATTAATTTATTTCATTTTGTTTGGCAATAACTTTTTATTGACATAATGTAGTTGGAATAAAAACTGTGGAGGTTTGAATTGTTGAATGAATAACTCTATCGCCATTCGCCAATTATACTTCTCTGGGTTTGAATAGCATCCATTTTGAACAAAATTATTTCTAAAAAATTCTAACAATATATCATTAAAAATACAAATTATTTTTTGGAATACTTTTTTAAGAATATTTTCCAATAAACTGTTCGAACCCACCCTATTTCTTAGCCAAAACGTTTTCGTTTAAAATTGTAACCTTTATTAGGTTGCCTAATAGTGTCGCATCTATTCTGGTCTTTTTTGAGCCTCCATTGTTAGCTACCATAAAACTTGTTGGGAATAAACCCCCTACAAAAATAATATTCACAGTAATAAAAGCGGAATAATAACGTAGCACCGAGATACGGTAATTAACAAGAATAAAAGAGTAACAACGACACCAAAATTTTTATATGGAAAATCCTTTTGAATAAGGGAAAAAACCACGGCCCTCAGAAGAACAACTGATATCACTATAGCAAGGAATTTTATACTTTGTAGGTCCGAATAAAATACTCAAAAGACCACTACAACACTCAAAAGAAATAACCTCTTTTGATATTCTCACCTCACTACAATATCACTCACTCTCTATTTTTCTCACAGACTATTTTCTTATACCCTGTCTGTGAAACCTCACTCTTTCTTTCTAACTCTCAGATATATTTTTCCTCTGAGAATGGTGTGTCGAGATGGGAGTTGAAGCTCTCCTTTTATAGGCAGAGCCTCACTCTCTCACGCCTACTACATTTGACATTTTCTACCTGCAGATCTGCTATGCCTACCGAATTTGACAAATGCAAAGATATGATGGCTGCCAACTTTGAAAACAATCAACAAGGAAGAAAAGTCTTCCTTAATTAATGGGATGGACCCCACAAAACTCACTTCCAAATCTCACTCTAGAAGAAACCCCAAATCATAACTTTAAGCAAGCACCGTATGCGATAAAGAGGGAGGGAGGGATAGATAGATAGAGAAAGATTAGTTGAGTGATATGAGGAGGGTGGCCGGCAGCCATAAAAGAGTGATGAGTCCACTAATGGTGGAGGTATGGACTGAAGCAGAAGACTTATAGATGAGTGTTTTTCTATTTCTTCGAAAAATAAGAAAATGTTAATACACACGTGGCGTCCACCATAGCAGTTTAGTAGTTGGGGTCCACTGCCACATTGGAGCACCGTTAAAAGTAGGGGTAAATTTGAATATTTTACTAACGGTAGATATATATATATATATATATATATATATATATATATATATATACCTCAAAAATACAACGGAGATTAAATGTAAACAATATTTGAAAGTAGAGTAATACATTTGGCCCTTTTCCCATTTATAAATGTGTTTTTTCCAAAATAAGCTAAAAATATATATATCATATAAAATAACATAGAATAATTCTATATGGCTTAATACAAATTTTATTCTTCCAACTTGCACAGAAATTCTTTTTGTACATTTTTCTTTCCGAGTAATTATAATTTTACAATTTTTTTTAATCAGATGTCCATGAAGGGATTCATTTTACACAACTTAATACGCAACATGTTGTGTCTAAAACTCCCCTTTTTGCTAATAATGATACAGTTATATTAAAAGTTAAACAGTAATATTATTACAAAGTGGAACCATTCGTGGTACAGTAACATATGAATGGTCCTTATTGAAAGCATGTAAAACAAAGGGTGGGGGAGACAGAAATGTACGGGACTCCACAGCCATTGGCATTCAGAAGGAATTAGGTGTTGCGGAAGCCAAATGTATATAGTGTAAATGAGTCACAACTACTATACCAAAAATTATGACAGCCACCAAATAATAAATAAGACAATAAAGCAACAATAAAAGGAACACCAGAATTTACGAGGTTCGGCCAATTTTGCCTACTTCCTCCAATATTTTATTCCACTCCAAAAATACAAGTGAAATAATACTAAAGAGAGAAGATACAAATGCCTTAAACAGATGAGAAGGCAAATGAGAGGTGTGTTTCAATCCTAAACATTAGGCCTTCTTTTATAGGGGAAAAATCCCCCCCAAACTTAACTCCCAACCAATGTGGGACTTATGAACTTTTGACATATTCAACAAATCTCCACCTTGGCAAAATTCCACATCTTCAATTTTATTTTAATAACAAATTTTGGTTGTGTCTTCATCTTCAATCTTCAGTGTTCAACAATATTGATCAAATCCAAACAATGTTGAAACTTGACCGCAGTCACCACCTTTGTCAGCATATCAGCAGGATTCTCTGTAGTATGAATTTTCTTCACCGTGACTCCACCTTCTTCTATGATTTCTCGTACGAAATGATACCGAACATCAATATGCTTCGTCCTTGCATGATAAACTTGGTTCTTCGCTAATTGAATAGCACTTTGACTATCACAAAAAATTGTGATACCTTTTTGTTCAACACCAAGCTCCTTTAGCAATCCTTGAAGCCAAATTGCCTCTTTCACAGCATCTGTAATAGCCATGTACTCCGCATTTGTTGTAGACAAAGCAACTGTTGACTGCAAAGTAGACTTCCAACTAACTGGTGCCTTTGCAAAAGTAAACACATAACCAGTAGTTGATCTTCGTTTGTCCATATCACCCGCAAAATCTGAGTCACAATATCCAACTACAGACTGATTGTCTTCCTGCTCAAAAACTAACCCNACCCAACATTTACAATATTATGAATATACCGTAGAATCCACTTCATAGCTTGTCAATGCTCCTTTTCTGGATTATGCATATATCTGCTAATAACTCTAATAGCTTGTGAAATGTCAGGTCTAGTACAGACCATTGCATACATCAAGCTACCAACAACATTTGTGTATGGTACCCTTGACATATACCGTCATTTAGCTTCATCCTTTGGCGACATAATAGTACTTAGCTTAAAATAGGGAGCAAGTGGAGTACTAACTGGCTTAGTCTTCTCATCTATGCCAAAGCGCTGCAGTACTCTCTTCAAATATTCTTTCTGAGATAAACAGAGTTTCTTTGAACGTCTATCTCTAAGCCAAGAATTTTCTTTGCCTCACCCAGATCCTTCATCTCGAACTCCTCCTTCAGTTGAATCTTCAACTTATCAATTTCTTCCAAATTCTTGGAAGCTATCAACATATCATCAACATATAGGAGAAGATATACAAAGGAACCATCTTTAAGCTTGTGCAAATACACACAATGATCGTATTTGCTTCTCTTGTACCCTTGCCGCAACATAAACTCGTCAAATCGCTTGTACCATTGTCTAGAAGATTGTTTCAATCNTACACAATGATCGTACTTGCTTCTCTTGTACCCTTGCTGCAACATAAATTTGTCAAATTGCTTGTACCATTGTCTAGAAGATTGTTCAATCCGTACAACAATTTTTCAAGTTTGCACACCATATTTTCTTTCCAGCAACTTTGAATCCTTCTGGCTGAGTCATGCAGATTTCCTCCTCCAAGTTACCATGTAAATATGCAGTTTTTACTTCCATCTGAACTAGTTCCAAATCCAACTGTGCTACCAAAGCCAACATAATTCTAATGGAGGAATGTTTTACAACTGGAGAAAACACTTCATTGTAATCAATTCCCTCCTTTTGAGCATATCCTTTGGCCACCAATCTTGCTTTGTAGCGAATATCTACTTGGTTAGAAAATCCTTCCTTCTTTGCATAAACCCATTTGCACCCAATTGCTTTCTTGCCCTTCGGGAGATTGGCCAATCTCCATGTATGATTCTGATGAAGGGACTATATTTCATCATTCATGGCAATCCTCCACTTATCTTCTTCTGAACTTTGGACTGCGTCTTTATAAGTGGTAGGACTATCATCAGCTACAATTGAGGCGACACAAGCAACCGTCTCTATAAGACGAATAGGTTTTGCTATTGTCCTTTTTGGCCTGCTAGTTGTAAGCACGTGATTTTTGCCCTATATGAGAAATACTCCCAAAAAATGCAAAATAAAATAATTTTCCTTGGTGTGCAATTTTGAGTACTTTTGTGATATTTTTAGATAATTATTTGTATTTGTCCGTGTTTGCTTATTTGTTAAATTAATAAAAAATACAAAAATATGTCGCATTTTGTATGTAGGATTTAATTCTACAATTGTTAGTAATTAAATTAGTTTTACAAAATTAAAAATTACAAAAATAGGCATCTTTTGCATTTTTAGCATTTAATGTCCGAATGAACAATTTTATGCTTAATTATTACTTAATTGTGCGTTAATTGTTATTGGTAGTTAATTTGCGCTTTTATAACTTAATTTAGTTCTTAATAATA